ACGTTCAAAAACGCGCTCGTTGTAAAATAAAATTATACACAACATATAAGGAAGACTAATTGTTTTCATCTTTCATAGTATAACACGAACTCAAGTGTGTGTACACAAACACCATTTATCTACCTGAAGAACAGTTTAATTTTAAAATATTATAATATCATCTTCTATAAAAGGCGTAAAAGTATACCTAACCATAAGCAGTGTACCTATACACTTTGTTTCAGACTTAATTATTATTAACATTTTATAATGAAATAATATATTTTTTAACGTGATGATGCTACATTAAATTATAGGTTAAGAGGATTTTATCAAAAATGTTTCATACATATATTTTTTTTTTTTTTTTTTTTGAAAAAAAAACTAATTAGATATTACGAACATATTTTTAGTGTCAAGGAATTTTAATGAAAACAATTAATTCAAAAATTGTGTGTAGGCGAGCGATTATACATCATCTATTTATAATCGACATAGTTTTTCGATGTACGCACACCAATTTCCATAAATTAAATAATATGTAAGTTAATAAAAATGTTAGTTTTGGTAATTTTAAAACCAGTTTCTTCCTTGAACCTACATATTATGTTTCGCCGTAGTGTATTATAATTTATAAGAATAACAATTTACGCATACATTGTTGTATTGGTTTTCCGCTAGTACGAGAACATATTATATTATTATTATATTATAAATTATAATGTCGCCGATTTCTATAAAAATTGTCCAGTGTGCTGCTGTCTTTTGGCAAATGTGTGGGAAGGTGATGTGCTCGCGGCGAGAACAAATACGCATGAAGTACTCGTGCACAACAAAAAATAAATGCACTAAACTGCAAATTAATATAAACCAGAAATCGCTGGGGCCCGGATGTGTGTGCGTAGTTATTTAATAAAATCCAAGTTTTGTATACACGAATGGATATAGTATTAATATTGGCATCATCTAGATCCGCCCTTTTTTTCAATGCACACGTGTACATATACCATGATCGGTACATTGGACGCATAAATATAGTGATGTTAAATATAGTGCCGGTCACCAAACATAATATTGTACATGAAATTACGAAACCCTGAAGTGCATCATACCATATAGGTTTTCCGAGTGTTACTACCGTTGACGTGTTGAGTTTACACATTAAAACTTAATAAATATTCTGCACGACGCCAGAAATCCGGTAACTACAAATAATATGTTGTCGGACTTCCTCATCTCGAGAAACGGCATCTGCAGCATGCAGTCGCGTCGTGCATTTAGGCGCCTCGTCTAATTTCCGTTACGACAAAATACTATTTATATAGTATATAAGTGTATACCTATGAGTATCTGCAGTGTTTTAAATATATGTGTTAAATAGAATATTAGACATTATCATACGATGTGTGTACACGCAGGCAGAGGGATATATAATAATGTACATAATATATAGCGTATACTACGGCGGCAGAGGTGACATACCCACTTGAGTCGCAGGCAGGCGCCACCGGGAGTGGCGGCGCGGTGTCAGGTACATACGACCCAATAATTCACATTATTACCACCGACGGGACTACGGTGTGTGTGTGTGTTATTCGTTTAGGACAAGAGCAAAAAGGATACCGCCGTCGCCAGTGATGTTTTGCTCACCGAAAACTATACGTGTCGACTTTCCGGTCAAACGGTCATCCACTAAAGTGTACCGCCGCCGCCAACGCCGCAAAGGATATATATAGGTAATATTATATATTATCATCAACGTATATCTCGGTCGACCGCAACTGTTATATATAAAATACAAAAACTGCTCCATATTACAATATACTATATTGTGTTTGTGTGTATATATTTTCCATTATTATTTCTCTTCGTTTGTCGGACGTGACAATAACATTTGTCCGACAGGTTAGGAATTTTTTTTTTTTTTTTTTGAGGAAATTGCGTGGCGATCCGCGTCCGATATCACATAATAGAATAAATCATTATACAAATACGTTGTGTATGTGTGTGTATGTATATATAATATACAACATAGGTATAGGCGGCAGGTACTATAGATATATTATACAATTTATAATACACTCTGGCGCAGGGGACTTGATATATACAACGCGCGGGTATATATTATAATCACAAAACTGCCGATTTCTTTTGAGTGAACATAAATTCGAGTGCACTTTTGACCAAAGACGACATCAAAGAGCACATTGTGATAGAATGTTATATACAATTTATTGTAAACGTCGTTACAAGCTTGCACTAGTGCGGTACACGGCGGGTTTGTGATCTAGTATCGGTGATGACTTAACTGGCGAAACGAAAAACGGAAAACGAAACGGCAATAAAATAAGGTGACACCTATATACATTTCAGGTATAAAGGTAAAATAAAATAAACGACCTATAACCATTAGAATACATATTATATTATTATTATTATTGTAACTGCTGTTCGCCCATTGTCGGGGGTGTGATTCACATCGGGTAAATCGATGTGTACAACAAAATAATACGTTTACGATAAACGCCGAAAGAGAAGAACCATAGTTTGAATCTACGGCGACGGCGGTGAGTGCGTCTTATCTTTTTCATTTTTACACGGGTATTAAACACCGTCAGCGGGGGCCCATAAATCGAAGATTTTAGCGCTTGTCTAGTAGTAGGTGCGCGGAGGGGTGGATGGGGTTGTTTTAAAACACGAAAACGTTATACGAAATACACACACACACACACACATGCGCGCGCGCGCGAGCGTACACATAAATATAAAAGAATCGTCTTAAAAAGGTGTCGGAAGGCGACGGCGGCGACGACGACGACAACGATGATGATGACGACACGACGGCGGCGGCAGCAGCGGCTATGGCGACTAGGCACTCAACCGGACCCGTCTGGCGGCAGTCATACACACGTATATTATATTATATTATTATTATTATTATTATTATTATATATTATATATATATAAAAACCCTCGTGCGCCGCCACCGTTTAATGACTATTGGCGACAGCACCCTAATTAATAGAAAAAGTCTGGTTCTCAGCGGGAACCCGTGTTAATTGAACATCTATAAAAATCTCGTATCACGTCGAATCTCCGAGTATCTTATGTACACGTTTGTCGTATACTATATATATATATAAAACATACAATACGTGTGCGCACACGAAATATATATAAATTGTTTTAACCTGAGACGCACACGAGCAGCAGCAGCAACAGCCGCCGCCACCGCCGTCTCGTCGCTCGCGGTACATAATATACGGTGTATATGTGCTGACATCGCGCTCTACGGAGTGACATCCGATTTTCACACAAACAGGCACAGACAGCCGCTTAAACCGACCCTTTTAAGTATTTCGAACGAGCAAATATTTGGTGTCAACCCCCCCGGACGGACGGACTGAAAAAAAATCTGAAATAAAACAACGACCCGAATGTTTTCCCGCACTCCACGAAACCCTTGTGAAACACTTAACGACACTATGTATCGATGCCGCCAACGCGTGTACATACAAGCCGACGCCCCCGAGAAAACGGTATACTATCATATTATATGTATATATACGTAGCAGACACGTATATTATTATAGTAGCGGCGCTACTGCCGGCGGCGCAGCTGAAATGCGCCGCCGGCGCGCACCCCGATCCAAGTTTGCGCCAACTGCGCAAAGTCGGCGGCGTCGGTCGAGTGCATATATTTGCTCGGGTCCGAGGGTGTCGCGAGAGCCCGCCCGCCCACCATTTTTCGCCTATACTTTAGAAATTCAGAACAAATAAATAAATCGTAGCGCGTCGCTTCCCGCCCGCTCACAAATCGTTCTCACGGGAATCTGCAGAAATATTCTGTATAGCAGGCGTATAATATACGTATAAAACGTATACATTATGATATGAGTGCGCGGCTAATGTTCTTCTGCCATCGTTATTTCAAAATATTATTATTTAATGTCTTCGCTCATTTCGATATATCAGTGGCTTGTTTGGAATTTTTACTACGGAGAGAACCTAACTAACGCTTAATTAATTCTGGTGCGAAACGTTTTCAACATAAATTATATAGGTATGAATAAATAATAATGTCTTGTTGAGTTTTGAAAAACTGAACGCCTACTACCTATTATAATTCTTATTTATTTAAAAATAACATATAATTTTTTTTAAATGTCATGCATTAACATTAAAAGATAAAAACAAAAACAAGAGGGGATGTATCAACCATATCACCCTCCCCCTTAGTGAATACGATACTGACTGATTGGAATACCCGCTGTGTATTGACTGCTGCTAACATCAGCATCGTGTACGTAATAAATATAATTGCATAAATATATATAAATCATACAGTGAAACTTTGGAACAACAGTTGTATATATGCTAAACAGGATATTTAATATAGTCTAATCACAGTACTAAATAGTAAGAAGCTTGTTTACTGGAGAACAACGTGACCAAACTCGGCCATTAGTGTCATTAAGTGATATCATATAATTTATAAATGATCGAAATCATTGTGATAAATCTTACCACATGCAATATTCACGTCGTCCGTCTACTTCAACTATACATAGTATAAAATATATAAATATAAACGATCAATACTCAATTACTCAAACATCTTCGTTAACAATCTCGTATTTATATGAAAAATAGTACAAAAATAAAGAAAATATAACACAAAAAGAAATGCGTGCATTTATTATTTACAATTTATTTTATTCCTAAATAAAAATTTCTGTCCACCGACAATGCAGTGTTTAATAACCGAAAACGAGTATTTAGATTTGATTATTCTAGTCCAAAATCTACTTAACATCCACCTACTTATGCTGATTGCCTACATAATAATATATAGTATATACTAAATTACCAAACTTTACAATCTTAACACCGAATGAGCGTATTATGACAGCGGGAAAAACATCGTTACAAACTTTTTAGATGGTTATGGAGAAAAACATATAGGAGAGGTGTTTAATATATCACACAGTATTATATATAAATAAATGGTTTGTACTTACAAATCCGTGTTTGTCAGATATATTGTTGGTGAGTTTTAGCTTGTGAAACGATACGACTTTTTGCATCCACTGTTCACCAGTCGACGGGGAATCGGGATGTATGTACATTCGCTTGGGCATTTCCGGATCAGCTTTTCCGGCCACCATCCATCGGCTAAATAATGATTAATATACACACAAATATTATTAACAGGGTCATCGTATAAATCGGGTATAGAATTTAAAATAATGCATGATTTATTAATGCAATAAAACGAACAGAATAACTTTAAAATGCAAAAAGCAAAATGAAAACCATAAAAATCAATCGACGTATAACGTTGTTAAATGTGTGAAACAATAATTTAAAAGCTGAGTATTATATAAATGAATATTATTTTGTTGATTTTAATGAACGTTAAACGCCAATTTTAGTAAGCAAAAATTGATAGTAAACAAGGAAAACATTGAATATTAATAAAACAGTGCACTTAAAAATTATTTTGTTAAAACGTTAGAAGAATGAAAAAAATGATCATGCTGTGAATTAATAAAAATATGTATAGTACATAATATTATTATATATTTGAGCCGAATCAACCCACACACGGTTTTACTTTTTAAATATTTTGAGGTTTTTAACTAATGTAATAAAATAAAATGACCAAAATACTTAACAAAAAGGCCATGAAATTATACAAATATATTTTTGTATACTAGCAATAGACATTGATAGTAATAAATTACAATGATTATTATGTACTAAATTCGTGTCACTGCACGTTCATTTTAAAAATATGGACAACTACCTACTAAAAAGCATAAATAGTTAAATGTAATGTCATTTTGAAGATAAGTTAATAAATCCAAAAATAACCAAATTTTTATTATATATAATATTGTTATGAATTTACCATCGATTATGATTCCACATACATACTTGTTTACAACATTATATATTATTTAAAAAATTAGTCATTTGATTGAAATTTGTTTACTTTTTGTACCTGTTGTGGAACTTATAGCGACAGTCGTCGGCAGCCACGATGTCCATTAGCAGTATGTATTTGGCCTTTTTGTCAAGCCCCATTACTCGAACTTTGTAAGCGGGGAACATCCGCCTAATCGAACAAAACAAAAAAAAAAGAAACTAAAAAACAGGAAAAAAACAATACGGGTTTATCATACAAATTATAAAAACAAAACCAAATAATAATAATAAAATATAAAAGTCGGGTTATTTATTAATATATTGGAGTGTACGTATAAGTTAGACCGCGGGGGGGTTGGGCTGCACAGCTCGGCAGTCGGCTCACATAATATAATATACTAACGATGACAACGTTACTAGGTAGGTACGTAATGTAATATATTATTAATATACACAGCAGTCATATGTATATATTATATACCTGTTGTGGAACTTATACCGGTAGTCGTCTGACGCCACAATGTCCTGCAACAAGATGTACTTGGTTTTTGCGTTCAGACCGCTCACCCGAAACCTCATCTGGGGAAACATTTGCCTGCAGACAATTTTTTTGAATATTTGGTTTTTTTCCTCATTACACAAACATTATAACATAAATCAAAATCATGCGCACTCGAAAAATCATTTAAACCATTTAGCGCTTATTATACATAAGTCCAATCGCCCAAATGAGAATATTATACATAGTATCACAGCTGCAATATACTACATATATAGGAGCATATCGGTTACGCTTATGGAAGATTTAAAAACTATCCATTTTAGCTTACAGCACTCATGAAGCGATTACAAGTACGAAATTTACAAATATACGTACATTTAACTTCTAGGTTCTAGGATATTTCAAAAATTCTGTTTTACAGATATTTTCTATGTCTGAAGGTAAACATATGATATTACATAGTTGTGCTTTACGTTTTCCTGCATTACCAATTTATAATGTGTATAATATTTTATAGACAATAATATTGTATCTATTGTACCATATGTGTATAAAATATACATTTACTATTCCCTATCGAAAACCAATACGCAACGTATGTTTAAACACAGTTTAACGTGTTTAAAATTTAATTCCTAGCTGCAGGACTCGTATCAATATAAATGATGTCATTATATATATATATATATAATATTTTAGTCTATATAATATCCCTCATATATAAAAACATCATATTCAGAAATCCTTCTCTTGCTGCTATTGCCACGACTGTTCCTCCTTGTCCGAAAAATATATAAAAACCATCTGCTACACACGCTGCCCCCCTTCTCCTCCCCATAAAACTCCCTATTAAATGGTGGCAGCCATCTTTAATCGTCACAATAGGATGAGTGCATGATATCTCGCACTTTATTATTACGGTAAGTACGCTTCATCGCTCGCCCTTTTTCACACCACCCCCCTGCACACATATACGCTGGATCCATTATTCGCGAGCGCCCGTTCCATTATATGTATACCATGCGGTATATTTTATAAATTTCAACCCTTATATAATAAATATTATATACATGTGCGTGCGCGTGTGTGTGTGTGTAAATACGAGCTGAGAAAACCGGCGGTGGTGCGTTATCAATGGCGGGGTACAGGGGTGCGAGTGAGTGCTTACTCACGACGGAGTAGGGCGTGTTTGTGGGCGAAATCCAAAGTCCGGAAGTGAACTTAACCGAATTCGATCAGTTGCAGGGGTGGCTGTTTCTCCCTGGAAACACATATTATATTGTATTCGAAACGAAATAATACATATGTGTGTGTGTGCGTGCGTGTGTACGTTTATTTGGTAGTTTTTACAGCAGAGAGAAACATGATATAGGTTTTAAGTATTTTTTTTTTCTATTCCTATTATACATATAGATTATATTATTTTTTAACCGATAACATGTTATCGCGCATTGTTGAAAAATGTCCGGTCGGACAATAAAAACACGTATGCGGTTTTTGTGTGGGCGAAAAAAAATAAAAGAATAATAATATATAATTTGTTCCTATTATTTTGCTGTCGATCCATTGTGTACGCACGTGGATTTCAAAGCCATCCAATAACGTTCGAAAATCGTTTTACCCACATATACATCGATATCATAATGTATTATATAATCCTATATGTATAACTACACTGTACGTCTGTACACGCCAATATATATATGTATATAAATTAATGTAACCTCTCCGCATTTGTTCTGTTCGTGACAGTTTTTTTTTTAAATGAAAAAAAAAAAACAGTTTTCCGCCACAATATATTTAGCACAGACTATGACAAATCGTACAGTGAAATGGTAAAATTTTGTATCGTCTATGCATTTATAATATATGTTCTATTAACAATTTAACGACTACAAACGCGCAACGACAGTTCAAAGGATAAACACACACAAGCGTATACACAATACATTAACATACATCACATACTAGTGCAGTACATACCTATATACCAAACATAATATTTATATAATAATCTGCATACTGTCGAAATCATAAAATAAATACAAGTGTACTCTAAACTTCAAATAAATGGTATTTATTTATATGCATAAACAAAATTGGTATAATATATTTCTATTTTTTAAACGTAAAAAGTAGTATTTATTCATTTTGTATATGAAATGTAGATTCATGTGCCGAGTATAAGAAAAATGACTGTGTAGATAAGTAAATCGATTAAGTATAAATTACACATATATATCGCTTAATATTGACCTACTGCAGTCCCGGAGTCTAAAAGTATTTAAATTTTAAATATGATTACTAATTTAATCATACCTACGTAAAACAAATATTAAGAACGGCACGTAATTGAATTAATAATATGCTTACACAACACAGAACTATTAACTTATAAATAGAGCTAAATACCTAATCTATCATGGGTAGTTCCACGTAAATGGTATAAAGTATAAATTAATAAATATAATCTCCAACAATTTTGCGGAAGTTCTAAACTCGGAACTAAATAACATCTCCAAACTACTACAATACATATCGGACATAACCCTCATGGAATATAGCATATAGATACAGACTACAGTAAATTAACTTGATACATTTTTCATTATAATTTATTATTAATTTTCTACTATTCTTTGTACTAGTGTCTAATAATAAAATGATTTATAAATATTTCTTCAACTTTTTGAAAATTTAATAAAGCAAGCCAATATTTCAAACAACACTATTGTGTTAAACATACAATGGCCATGGATGCCACAGATAGATAAAACACGATGATATTTTTTATAGGTATAATACAATTTTATTAATCGAAATATTAAATTAAACTTCACTTTAGTGGCTCCTGTATATGTAAAACAAAAACCCTTAAAATTATGTTTATTCACCACAAATTTCGTAAAATCCAAATAACTGTTATTGATGTGTTCTGAATTAAGTCTTAGACACAGCCATACTATAACCACCGTTCTAAACCAAATAAGAAATCTGTTAACGAGACTTAACCGACAATTGTTCGAGCAAAACTCTAAACAAATATAAACGATAAGATTGTGAGGCTTTATTTCTAGTGAAAAAAAGGAATAATAGTGGAAATATAAAAAAAAAAAAAAAAAAAGGGAAAAAAAAGAGTTGTTTCGGGATTATGCGATTATTCTCGATTTCTCGAATCCCTTACACACACACACCACGGTCGTCGGAAAAAAGGACGCTCGAACGCGCGGTTTTCGATAAACGTTCACACGGCGCCTAAAAAAAAACCCATAGACCGTACGTAAGAGTATAAAGGGCGGCGCGAGCGAAGAAAGTGTTATTTTGTGTGTTAAGAGATATTATGTTATTATGTATATAATAATATGTACCTACAAAGAGCGCGTCACATTGTGCGGCGACGGCGGCGTGCACATTATTATAATATAATATTATAGTACACACTGGCGCGAGAGGAGACAACGACGCGACACGGTCGATTGGACAGAGAATAATAAACGTACCTATAGGAGAAGAAGGTGTTTCTCTTCCTATTGTACGTAATGGGTCGCCGCTACCTATATACATAACGTATACGAATAAAAATATAATACACACATAATAAATATGCGCACATAGGTATATGATATACCATATAGTATATACCATGTATAGGCGGGTACCTACGTGAACACAATATATATATATATATGTGTGTGTACAATATAAGAGCGTTTACACGTGAAAACCGAATACAATAAGGAGCGGAGGCGGCGTGTGTATTTGTGTGCGGTTGTGCTTTCGTCAACGCCGGCGACTTAATGTACCGTGTAAACACGACGAAGACGCGCGCACCCGAAAAAAAACACTCGGCGCACAGCACACACACACACACATACATTTGGCGTTTTACGATATCGTCGCCGTCACTTCACGCCCACGGAAGTATTAGCGACGATCGGTTTTTATACATTTTCCACCCGTTTATATAAATCATGGTAAATAATAATATTATAACCGGCGGGGAGAGGCCGTGTCGGATATCGCCGCAAGTCGATTACCGATGTGCGTACACACACACACACGTCTCGCGAACGGAATTTATTTCGTTCATAAAATATACATGCCTACCTACATATTATACTGCAGCAGTGCGACGCGTACTTATAATTCCATCGCGTATATCATTCCGAATCGTAAATGCACGCAGCAGCATATCCGTTTACGTCATGTCACCCCGTGCCCAGAGATTATGATATAGAGGAGAAAAAAAAATACAATCGTCCGGTTAATGTTAATAGTAATAATAATAATAATAATAATAATAATCGAAACACTATTACACGGACGACGAGTACCTATAAAAAAATGATTTTAGTTAGACGACGAGCGCGTGCGTGTGTATGTGTGTGTGAGTGATATGTATATATATATATATATATACATTATACATATGAAGTTAGTTAGGTAGGTAGGAACGCGCGTACGGATGGTTAGCGATATGATTGATAGTGGTGAGCCCGGGCAGCGGGTGGTGGCGCCAGCAGTAAAAACAAACATACCCCGCGGGCCGAAAAAAAATCCCGTGTCCGCCCATCGCCGCATAGTCATAGTCGTCGTAAAATTTTATAATAATAAATATATATACACGTACGTATGGTGTATTTGAATGTGTGAGCGTGTGTGTATAAAATAGAGACGCGCGTGCGGCG